CGATATTTTTTTATCTCTGCCGTCCCCGCTGCTATTTCCCTTGCCAGACCTTCGAGGAACTTCCCCCCCAGGCTCGAGCCTACGTGAAGCGCATCGAAGAGCTCGTGGGGGTGCCCGTCCGGTGGATCGGTGTTGGTCCCGGGCGTCTGGACGTGATCGACAGAGGGGAGGGATATACGCTCGAGGTCAAAGGAGTGAACAGAAGACAATTCTAAAGGTGGGAAGGGAACGAGCGAGACGGCGACGGGTGAGCGCTGGTGGGAATGCTATTGGAGTGGATTCAGGTGACAGGAGGGCAGTATTGTAATGGGACATGAATGGTGTCTTGAAATCGCGGGGGTGCCTCGTGAGAAAGCGCGTTGGCATTTACATGCGCGCTGAGGGACGGAGGAAGATGGGTCCCAAAGACCGGGGGGAGGGCGAGGAAACGGAAAGAGATGAGCAGCAAGGAAAGATGATATACGGTCGACGCATGGGTGAGGCATGCCAGCCCTCAGTCATTTCGAGGAGGAAAAAAGGGAGGAGGGAAGGAAGGGAGGAAGGGAACTTTGGGATTTATCCGGTGGCGGGAGAGGTTTGGTGGATGGGCTTGCCAACAAATCAAAACCCTCGACAACACGTACGGGATTACAATCTCAGTCCTGAGTCTGTATCAAGAGCAATTGCTTGCGTCATCGGCCTGACTATATACACATAAATATTTATATATATATACCTTTCCTCTTCATCGTGTCAGCTACCGCGCCTCCCCTTCTCTCCTCTCTTTCCTTGTCGTGCCGTCCGTGGCGACGCCCACAAGCCTCCTCCTCTCCCCCCTTTCAGTGCCCCCCCGTCTTTCCCTGCTCCCCTCCCTGCCCGTTCTCACCACTGCAACCCCAATGGGATCCTCAGGTCCATGTATCTTTCCATCCACTCTCGGAACAATTCCCGGGGCAAACCCTCCCCGTCGTCCTGCTGCATTGTCACAAATTGCAGGACCGCGGCCTGTTTGTTCATGTCCTCCCTCGTCTCCCCCCTTCCCCCCTGTCGTCTCCTGGTGTATGTTTTCTTCTCCCATAGGGGAATTGGCTCCTCGTCTTCCCGCGAATAAAAAACTTGGGGCTGTCTCTTCCCGTCCTCCCTCCCTCCCTCGCTTACCCCACCCAGCCATCTAAGCTTACACAGAAAGTAGATGATCTCTTCGGCACTCACGAGCCTCACGCATTCTTCGTGACCCCACATCTCCGCGATCTCCCGGGCCGTTCGACCCCCTGAGTCCTTGACTGTGACAGGACGTGGTGTTGGGAAGTCAATGGGGAGATGAGGGAAAAGG